GTCCCCAGGTTCCCTGGTCCCCAGGTTCCCTGGTCCCCAGGTTCCCTGGTCCCCAGGTTCCCTGGTCCCCAGGTTCCCTGGTCCCCAGGTTCCCGGGTCCCCAGGGTCCTGGTCCCCAGGTTCCCTGGTCCCCAGGTTCCCCTGGTCCCCAGGGTTCCCTGGTCCCCAGTTCCCTGGTCCCCAGGTTCCCTGGTCCCCAGGTTCCCTGGTCCCCAGGTTCCCTGGTCCCCAGGTTCCCTGGTCCCCAGGTTCCCTGGTCCCCAGGTTTCCCTGGTCCCCAGGTTCCCTGGTCCCCAGGGTTCCTGGTCCCCAGGTTCCCTGGTCCCCAGGTTCCCTGGTCCCCAGGTTCCCTGGTCCCCAGGTTCCCTGGTCCCCAGGTTCCCTGGTCCCCATGTTCCCTGGTCCCCAGGTTCCCTGGTCCCCAGGTTCCCTGGTCCCAGGTTCCCTGGTCCCCAGGTTCCCTGGTCCCCAGGTTCCCTGGTCCCCAGGTTCCCTGGTCCCCAGGTTCCTGGTCCCCAGGTTCCCTGGTCCCCAGGTTCCCTGGTCCCCAGGTTCCCTGGTCCCCAGGTTCCCTGGTCCCCAGGTCCCTGGTCCCCAGGTTCCCCTGGTCCCCAGGTTTCCCTGGTCCCCAGGTTCCCTGGTCCCAGTTCCCTGTCCCAGGTTCCCTGGTCCCCAGGTTCCCTGGTCCCCAGGTTCCCTGGTCCCAGGTTCCCTGGTCCCAGGTTCCCTGGTCCCCAGGTTCCATGGTTCCCCAGGTTCCCTGGTCCCCAGGTCTGGGCCGGTCCTGGTCCCCAGGTTCCCTGGTCCCCAGGTTTCCCTGGTCCCCAGGGTTCCCTGGTCCCCAGGTTCCCTGGTCCCCAGGTTCCCTGGTCCCCAGGTTCCCTGGTCCCCAGGTTCCCTGGTCCCCAGGTTCCCTGGTCCCCAGGTTCCCTGGTCCCCAGGTTCCCTGGTCCCCAGGTCCCTGGTCCCCAGTTCCCTGGTCCCCAGGTTCCCGGTCCCCGGTCCTGTCCCCAGGTTCCCTGGTCCCCAGGTTCCCTGGTCCCCAGGTTTCCCTGGTCCCCAGGTTCCCTGGTCCCCAGGTTCCCTGGTCCCCAGGTTCCCTGGTCCCCAGGTTCCCTGGTCCCCAGGTTCCCTGGTCCCCGGTTCCTGGTCCCCAGGTTCCTGGTCCCCAGGTTCCCTGGTCCCCAGGTTCCCTGGTCCCCAGGGTTCCCTGGTCCCCAGGTTCCCTGGTCCCCAGGTTCCCTGGTCCCCAGGTTCCCTGGTCCCCAGGTTCCCTGGTCCCCAGGTTCCCTGGGTCCCCAGGTTCCCTGGTCCCCAGGTTCCCTGGTCCCCAGGTTCCCTGGTCCCCAGGTTCCCTGGTCCCCAGGTTCCCTGGTCCCCAGGTTCCCTGGTCCCCAGGTTCCTGGTCCCCCAGGTTCCCTGGTCCCCAGGTTCCCTGGTCCCCAGGTTCCCTGGTCCCCCAGGTTCCCTGGTCCCCAGGTTCCCTGGTCCCCAGGTTCCCTGGTCCCCAGGTTCCCTGGTCCCCAGGTTCCCTGGTCCCCCAGGTTCCCTGGTCCCCAGGTTCCCTGGTCCCCAGGTTCCCTGGTCCCCAGGTTCCCTGGTCCCCAGGTTCCCTGGTCCCCAGGTTCCCTGGTCCCCAGGTTCCCTGGTCCCCAGGTTCCCTGGTCCCCAGGTTCCCTGGTCCCCAGGTTCCCTGGTCCCCAGGTTCCCTGGTCCCCAGGTTCCCTGGTCCCCAGGTTCCCTGGTCCCCAGGTTCCCTGGTCCCAGGTTCCCTTGGTCCCAGGTTCCCTGATGGTCCCCAGGTTCCCTGGTCCCCAGGTTCCCTGGTCCCCAGGTTCCCTGGTCCCCAGTTCCCCCTGGTCCCCCAGTTTTCCCTGGTCCCAGGTTCCTGGGTCCCCCAGTTTCCCTGGTCCCCAGGGTTCCTCTGTCCCCGGTTCCCTTGTCCCCAAGGTTCCCTGGTCCCCATGTTCCCTGGTCCCCAAGGTTCCCTGGTCCCCAGGTTCCCTGGTCCCCCAGGTTCCCTGGTCCCCAGTTTCCCTGGTCCCCAGGTTCCCTGTCCCCAGGTTCCCTGGTCCCCAGTTTCGGGTCCCCAGTTCCCTGGTCCCCCAGGTTTCCCTGTCACCAGGTTCCCTTGTCCCCAGGTTCCCTGGTTCCCAATGTTTCCCTGGTCCCCATGTTCCCTGGTCCCAGTTCCCTGTCCCCAGGTTCCCTGGTCCCCAGGTTCCCTGGTCCCCAGGTTCCTGGTCCCCAGGTTCCCTGGTCCCCCAGGTTCCCTGGTCCCCAGGTTCCCTGGTCCCCAGGATTCCCTGGTCCCCAGGTTCCTGGTCCCCAGTTCCCTGGTCCCAGGTGCCCTGGTCCACCCAGGTGTCCCTGGTCCCCAGGTCCCTGGTCCCCAGGTTCCCTGGTCCCCAGGTTCCCTGGTCCCCAGGTTCCCTGGTCCCCAGGTTCCCTGGTCCCAGGTTCCCTGGTCCCCAGGTTCCCTGGTCCCCAGGTTCCCTGGTCCCCAGGTTTCCCTGGTCCCCAGGTTCCCTGGTCCCCAGGTTCCCTGGTCCCCAGGTTCCCTGGTCCCAGGTTCCCTGGTCCCCAGGTTCCCTGGTCCCCAGGTTCCCTGGTCCCCAGGTTCCCTGGTCCCCAGGTTCCCTGGTCCCCAGGTTCCCTGGTCCCCAGGTTCCCTGGTCCCCAGGTTCCTGGTCCCCAGGTTCCCTGGTCCCCAGGTTCCCTGGTCCCCAGGTTCCCTGGTCCCCAGGTTCCCTGGTCCCCAGGTTCCCTGGTCCCCAGGTTCCCTGGTCCCCAGGTTCCCTGGTCCCCAGGTTCCCTGGTCCCCAGGTTCCCTGGTCCCAGGTTCCCTGGTCCCCAGGTTTCCCTGGTCCCCAGGTTCCCTGGTCCCCAGGTTCCCTGGTCCCCAGGTTCCCTGGTCCCCAGGTTCCCTGGTCCCCAGGTTCCCTGGTCCCAGGTTCCCTGGTCCCATGGTCCCCCCAGGTTCCCTGGTCCCCCAGGTTCCCTGGTCCCCAGGTTCCCTGGTCCCCAGGTTCCCTGGTCCCCAGGTTCCCTGGTCCCCAGGTCCCTGGTCCCAGGTCCCTGGTCCCCAGGTTCCCTGGTCCCCAGGTTTCCCTGGTCCCCAGGTTCACTGGTCCCCAGGTTCCCTGGTCCCCAGGTTCCCTGGTCCCCAGGTTCCCTGGTCCCCAGGTCCCTGGTCCCCAGGTTCCCTGGTCCCCAGGTTCCCTGGTCCCCAGGTTCCCTGGTCCCCGGTTCCTGGTCCCAGGTTCCCTGGTCCCCAGGTTCCCTGGTCCCCAGGTTCCCTGGTCCCCAGGTTCCCTGGTCCCCAGGTTCCCTGGTCCCCAGGCTCCCTGGTCCCCAGGTCCCTGGTCCCCAGGTTCCCTGGTCCCCAGGTTCCCTGGTCCCCAGGTTCCCTGGTCCCCAGGTTCCCTGGTCCCCAGGTTCCCTGGTCCCCAGGTTCCCTGGTCCCCAGGTTCCCTGGTCCCCAGGTCCCTGGGTCCCCAGGTTCCCTGGTCCCCAGGTTCCCTGGTCCCCAGGTTCCCTGGTCCCAGGTTCCCTGTCCCCAGGTTCCCTGGTCCCCAGGTTCCCTGGTCCCCAGGTTCCCTGGTCCCCAGGTTCCCTGGTCCCAGGTTCCCTGGTCCCCAGGTTCCCTGGTCCCCAGGTTCCCTGGTCCCCAGGTTCCCTGGTCCCCAGGTTCCCTGGTCCCCAGGTTCCCTGGTCCCCAGGTTCCCTGGTCCCCAGGTTCCCTGGTCCCCAGGTTCCCTGGTCCCCAGGTTCCCTGGTCCCCAGGTTCCCTGGTCCCCAGGTTCCCTGGTCCCCAGGTTCCCTGGTCCCCAGGTTCCCTGGTCCCCAGGCTTCCCTGGTCCCAGGTTCCCTGGTCCCCAGGTTCCCTGGTCCCCAGGTTCCCTGGTCCCCAGGTTCCCTGGTCCCCAGGTTCCCTGGTCCCCAGGTTCCCTGGTCCCCAGGTTCCCTGGTCCCCAGGTTCCCTGGTCCCCAGGTTCCCTGGTCCCCAGGTTCCCTGGTCCCCAGGTTCCCTGGTCCCCAGGTTCCCTGGTCCCCAGGTTCCCTGGTCCCCAGGTTCCCTGGTCCCCAGGTTCCCTGGTCCCCAGGTTCCCTGGTCCCCAGGTTCCCTGGTCCCCAGGTTCCCTGGTCCCCAGGTTCCCTGGTCCCCAGGTTCCCTGGTCCCCAGGTTCCCTGGTCCCCAGGTTCCCTGGTCCCCAGGTTCCCTGGTCCCCAGGTTCCCTGGTCCCCAGGTTCCCTGGTCCCCAGGTTCCCTGGTCCCCAGGTTCCCTGGTCCCCAGGTTCCCTGGTCCCCAGGTTCCCTGGTCCCAGGTTCCCTGGTCCCCAGGTTCCCTGGTCCCCAGGTTCCCTGGTCCCCAGGTTCCCTGGTCCCCGAGAGAGGGCCTCCTGACACACAAGAAGCTGGCAGCAGGTAGCTTCCTATTTTATTGCATAAGGAGAAAAAGAGAATCACAGTTTCCATTAATAGCAATCAAATCAGGATAGTTATAGAAGTCATATAGTTATATAGGCCAAATGCAGCATTGAGCATGTAAGTCCAAAATTGAAATCCTGAAAACATCTATTTATGTGCTACCCATATTTTAGGTTTTCTTAGGTGTGTCAGGTGCCTGGTGGTATGTCTCTGGGCATGTCTGGAGCTACTTTCTATTTGGTAGTGCTGGACAGGCAGTGTCATATCCTGAGTGTAATCAAGGCACAGAAACTAGATGTTTTCTCTATTGTGAGACACATTCTTTACTTTTCCTCTATTTCCTTGTCAAGATTATTGTTAAAGAACTTAGTGGCTAAAACAGTGGTTAGAAGGCACATTCTAGATTAAAAGTTGATGTGCAAGCAGAGGAAAATTTTAAGCTTTTATAGTTAGAAATTAGTATTCTGATTGTGATAGATGCTGTACAGTAAGGAGAGAACTAGCTCCTGCCTGAGGCAATTTTATGATGTAATAGGATTCTAAAGATTTTAAACACGTTTTAATTCAGAATGGGAGAAAAAAATTAATCAGACTGCATGAACCGGGGAATTGGAAGTGCCAGCACCAGGAAATCCAGCAGATTCTACCACAGCAGCACAGGTTTGAAGTTTCTGGCAAAAGTAAGCAAAGCAGAGATTATTAATTTTAACTGTGATGGGTGGCGGGGTTTGTTTTGTCTTTTCTTTTTTTTTCCTTCATTTTTTATTATTATTATTTTTTTTTATTCCTAAGAGACAATTGGAAAAAAGTGTTAACAAAACCAAGATGGATTGTATTAGTCTGTGGCAAGGGAGGAGGTAAACTGAAACTGATGTCTTGCCTTTCCTCTTTTTTAATAAGTGTCCAACTACTAAAGAAATCCAGACAGGTTTGAATGAATGTCTGTAGACAGTACATCAATAGATGTGTGTGCAACAGTGCTGTTGTAAGGTTGGCCAATAATCACAGCCTACATTAATTCCAGAAAGTACACACAAATAATATTTCTTGGCTCCATTTTCAAAGCAGCATTGGGAAAGTTATGTGCACTAATCCTGGAACAATAACAGGATTTGTGTTTCCAACACAAGCATAGCTTTGGGAATGCAACCGTAAGGGTCTAATGCAACAGTCGTAGTAATCTCTGGCCTCTTACCCTCTGAGAAAAGAGAACAATTTTGCAATAGTATTTGCTGGTAAACTAAAAAAATATCCTGTACCCCTGGAGATCCTCAAACAAACAGTCTCTTCTTCCCTATAGGGATGTAATATCATAAATAAATGAAGGAGAAAGAGGGAATACTGAAAGAAGCCAAGTCTGCATCCTGAACATCTTAAAATCCCTTTTTTTTTTCCTCAGAAGTGTTATAACTCCTGATGAAAAGAAGTGAGTGGTCACTTTGAGTACTGAATAATTTTCACTAATAAAAGTAAAGATGCTGTTTTACTCTCCTGTTGCCTGACAATGCTAAGTGTTTTCTATTCTACTTCAGTTCTTGTTTTTTTTTCAGTTTAAGGAGCAGGATGCTCAGAACTTTTCAAGTTGGAATTTGTCTCTTCTCCCTAGAAAACATCTTCTGTATGTATTAATACACATACATATATCTATGTGTATTGAATAGGAAGTTAAGAGAAATTCAGTAATTCATGCAGGAAAGTAACAAGTACAACCTGAAAAGTTTTAACCCAGTTCTTTCTATTCAGAATTCCTGTTGACTTCAGAGGAGTGCAAGATTTCATTCTTTTTCAGAACAGAAAACAATACCTGCATTAAGTATCTGTTGGAGCGAGTGGACATTGGGGGCTTTTTGCATCATACTCAAAGTTGTCAGTTTCCTAGGATAATGGCTTCCACTCCCATGTTTTGTAACAGGGTTCTTGGTTATTATTTGTGACACTTGTTTTAAGGAAGAACATATTTAATAACTTTGGTTAGTGGTATCTAAAGATTGCTGCCACACGTAGCAGCATTGTTGTTTGTCTGAATAAAACTGTACTAATATGTTTTTACTTCACATTAATCAAATACAAAGCCTTCTCATCACTGTCAAAGAAGACTACTTGCAAACCAAGAAAATGACCTAATAAAGAAGTAAAACAAAGGGGACTAAAGGTCCTTCCAAAATCTCTCTCCATAGCTCTCAGTTGAAAGAAGGAAGAAGCCATTTCCAAGACAGAAGGACCTTATGGGAAAAGAAACAATGTTATACTAGTGAGGTTTTAAAAAACAACGAAATTTATTTTGCTGAAAGTGACCAAAAGGTGGCAGTACTCCACGCACTGTTGAGTTCCCGGTGCCCTCAGAGCTATACACTACATATTCTGAAGTGCTTGACATCCACTTTTCTTCAAATATACCCAAGGAAACTATGCCCTTACAAGAATATGAATCCCTTTGTGGCTTCATTTGGCTTTTCTATAAGTACACAATGCATGAAATAAAATATTTTAATAGGCCTGAAAAATAGTTCTTTGACCAATTCCCGTTCTACTCACAGGCACTCCTGCATTCTGGGCTGCTGACTCTCTCTTGCTGTGGTCTCACACGGCATGCTGGTATATCACAAAGGTAGACAGTTATGCTTGTGGCTTAATTGGCATCAGCCTGGATCCATAGTAAAATTTAACAAGACTGAGACTTACTTAATCCTTCTACATAAGAAAAATCCAGGATACAGCTCATGTAACATCATTTATTACTTAGAGGAGTATCTGCAGGTGTTAAGATGGCAGTAGCTGTTTTATCTCCAGTTTATATCCTTCCACATCCTTCAGACAAAATCCAGCCAATAATGGATCCCTTTTCATGCCTGAAAAAATCAGCTGAAGGATCCTTGCTATTAATAGTGGATGGTTATGGCATAAGGTGATGTAGGGTAATAGTGCAGCTCCCGATGTACACCATACACTTCTTAGTGACCGTTCCTGCAGTGGTAGGATTGCTGTGCTCCGTGACTTTCTGCACAGTGCTGCTCTGAGCATAACTGTGCCTCTGAGCGTGCTGTATTACCTTTTCTCTGTTCCTTCTGCATTTGGCCTCCTCACAGGGTTGGAATTCTGATATCCTTATGGTTGTCTTGCTTTTGTTGAAATGTTCTCCCTCCCTTCCCTATGGCCAGCAGTGTTGCTGCTTTGTCCTAGTAAGCGACCAGAAGAGAACTGAGCCACCACACATTCGGTGCAAGTGGAGGGTTGTGTGTTCAAGCTGGTAGTTCAGCAGTTCACTGAGGGGACTGAGAGGCAGGGAAAGAAATCTCCTGTCTGCTAAAGTCCTCTGTATTGATTGTAGTCCAAAAAGCACATTCTTAGCTGTATAACCTGTCTTTACTATAAATACTGTGAAAGATACAGATTATATTCCTCAGTACAACTTCCTGTCATGGTGCAGTATTGCTTTTATTACCAAGAAGGTGGGCTTCTTTTGCTGGGAACTGCAGTTCTTTGGTTTTTCCCTTTATACCCAGAAAATATGGAAGATGACAAGACTTTCTTTGATCAACTGATAAATTCATTTGTTGGGCAGATAGCACAGCCAGCACAAACTAAGCTGTTGGTTATTATCCTCGCTCAGGGTGCGGTTTTGTTTTTCTTGTTTTGAGGCTGAACTGGTTTAGTGGCTTGCCACAGCTGAAAAGGGTCAGATCAGTTTCCCTCTTCTCCTGGCCACAAGTTCCTGGTACTTCCCTGATGCTGCTTATCGTGTTTATCTGATCCTACGGGGAGGCAAGTGCTGTAACTGGTACAAGGAAGGAGGGTGGAACTGCTTGCCCAGGAGTTGGATGAAGGAAGCAAGACAGACACTTTGAGTAGCAGAATGGTGTTACATCAGCTCAACCATTCTGTGAAAACTCACTCTAAGTTTAGGAGGTGTTGGAAAAAGGATTGCTAGTAAAGTTTACTGTGCAAAAATGGATAGTTAATGGAGACTGAAGCATGCCACCAGTGAAGCAACTGAATTATGTCCTATGTGAAAATATATAGGATGGATGAAAAAGGTTTAGTTTTGCCAAACATTGGCTTTTCCAAGAAAGCCAGCTTAAGAAATTCTCTCTCCCTCCCATGATGGCTTGGTTCCAATCATGTGTTCAAATTTTCTGCTGCCTCAGTTCTGCCAATGTAATATTTTTTAAGGATACATTGCAAACTGGTTTGCTGAAATGATCTGGCTTTAAAAATCACTTTTATTTCTGGAGGCTTATTCTTATCCCAGATCATTTCAGTGAAGCTAGTATATCATGCAAGTACACCTTTGGGATGAAATGAAATGATATGGCTCAGTCCAAATTAGTAATCTAGCAGTACATCATTACTGAAAGAAGGAAGTTTCTCCCTGCTGACTCAGAAAAAATAAATGAACCATCTTCTGACAGATTTGTGAGTTGAATCAGTTCATTGTGTTTGTGTGTTTGCGCACACACGTGGTGATCTGAAGTGGGCCTCACTGCAAAGTGTTAGTGGTGGAGGACTTGTGGTGGAGAATGAAACGGAGGGAGAAAGCAGGATCTCACCCTTCTGGTAGTGTTAAGGTCTCATACTGGCTCAAACCAGAACAAGTATTTTCACCTTCTATGTCCATCCCAAAATATTTCATTGATAAAATAGAACTAGCTACATCAACAGTGTACTAAATCTGGAGACCCAGAATGCTATTTCCATATATTTTTTCCTGCTTTCCACATGTTGGGCATTAACACAGTGTTTTGGTGTTATGAGCACTATTAACTGTATATTGATTTATTTATTTGTAACTTTGTGAAGTATTCTGAACTCTGTTGCCCATTTGCTCGGGCAGCAGCCACATCCTTTATGTGTAAAGTAGCCACTGCAGTATCAGGCCGCAAGCCTAAGGCCTGAGGGAGACTCCTTGGGGTGTGTCTGCAGTGTAGATAAAGAGAAACAGACGTTGTCACCAGCCATTATTTTGGATCTGACATTTTCTTTCATCAGTGGTTATCTAATATGGAAAATTCCAAAAAATTATCATCTCTAAACCATATTTATCTATCCTATCAGATGTCAAGGAAAACCTTTTTGTGATGAGCAGCAGACCCAAACAAGTTAATCACCAGAGTGAGTCTCTGCAGTACACTTAGTTCATATAAATGAGGCAATTGTTTGCTAATCGGCTACAGCTGATTTCCTCATTCTTGGCTAAGATCAACTACTTCCTTCTCCTGGTGCCTGGGATAGTTATTCACTCAGAGTGAATAACTTTTTCCTCCCCACTTTTATGTGGGGGAACAGTTTGGTATCGCCCTGTTATATTCTGCATGTATTCTTTTACATACCCTTATTGCAAGCTTTCACAGAAGTTTCACAGAATCATCTAGGTTGGAAGAGACCTCTGAGATCACCTAGTCCAACCTCTGACCTAACACTAAGAAGTCCTCCACTAAACCATATCACTAAGCTCTTTAGTCTTTTCTATACTCCCTTTATTTCTTTCATGTAGTTACCTTCTTGTTCAAATGCAAATCTTCACTCAACATCTGTTGTTTTATTGTAGGAGGGGGTACTGAAGTCTTGCACTGGTAAAACAATTTTCTTTTTGCTATTACAGCATATGCATGTTCAGATTTTGCACTGCAGAAGTTACATAAAGTGCCAAACACACCCAACTAGATGAGAAATATTTTTAGTCTTCATTATGTGATTTAAACATAAGGTTCCTGCTTAAATTCCCAGTCATTCACTTATCCTAAGTCCTAAAGAGGCTAAAACTGTATGTACTCAAACCTGGGGAACTCCATTAGGCATGCATCCTTCTGAAAATCACACACACAAAAAAGTAAACACACTGAAAAATAGGAAGAACAATTGCTTTGACTTTGTCGTAACTGTAGGTGTAACTTCAGTAACAGTAAATTATAAAATCCTGTAAGAGTTTGAAGCGGATATTATACCTTTAAAATGAGTCATTTCTGTAAGGGATTTTGAAATTATTGTAACTTAAATAAGATTAGTCTTATCAATGACCTATTTAGAACACTTAAATTCAAATATATTACTTTTATCTTAATGCACTATTTAGATGTCTGACACTTACGCTGTTTTCCTAAAAGTCTGCCATTCTCTATCACCAATGAGCAGTCAAGAATATCATCAAATATCTCACAAAGCGTGGAGAATAAAAAGTGAAGGCTATACAGACATCAGTGATTAATACAGAAGATAGTGCCAGTTTGATCTTCTTATACATGAAAACGTAGAATTTGCTATATTTTTCTGAACAAACAGACAGAAATCCTCATCAGCTTTTCTGAATTAGTTTAGGGAAGCATTTCAAAAGGTGTACTGTGATATTAAAGGCCATTTTTTATGCTTGGTAGAGTTTTCCCTTGCGTGTGCTTGGGGGCACATAGATAGTTGGGAAATCACTCTGTGATGATTCTCCTGAATTATGTGTAGCCAAATCAGACACGGAGCTGATGAAAGTGTACAGGATGTGTTAGC